CCGGCAGTGGAGAGTTGTCTGCTGACCCGAGCGTCGGCCAGACTGGCATCTCGACCGAAACGAACGCCTACGACAAACTCAAGCGACTGATCGATGCCCAGCAAGCTGAGATTAATGCCCTCCGTGCCAACTCGGCAAGCACTGCGTTGAACAAACCAACTCAGCGATTGGGCTCAGGTGAATCGGAAGCAAAGGACCTACTCAAGAAGGTCAAGTTTTCCGGAAAGCACTTCTCGGCCTTCAAGCTCAAGTTTCAAAACATTTGCCAACTTCGGCACATCTGGGACATCATCGTTGGAAAGGAAGCAACTCCAGGACCTGATGCCCCTGAAGTTGAAACGTTCCACTACGATGACAAGGTGAACATTGCGAGGTCGTACCTTCAAACGTGTCTGTCGGACGAAGTATTCGAGCTTGTCCGTGAAGACGAATCACCGGCGGAAATGTGGAAAACGTTGATTGCGAACTACGAAACGAAGGAGTGGTCAAACACAATCTACACCCTGCGCCGTCTTGGGCAGCTCCGTTACGAACCCAAGTCCGACATGATGCGGCACATCGGCCGTGTCCGATCTACCATCCGCGAACTGAACGACATGGGCAAGGTCATCGATGAGACCGAGACGGTTGAATGGATTTTGATGTCCTTACCTGACTCTGGTCCGGACAACTTCAACAACTTCCTCAATCACTTGAAACCTACGCCGGATCACAAGGTGACGTTGAAGTCGTTGATCAGCGCCCTGCTCAACGAGGAAGAGAAGCGCAAGGAACGTGGCAAGGATCGGCGCCATGACCGTCCAACGCGATTTGACTTCCAACGTCGTCCATCTGATGGAAAGGACAAACGAGTCAGTACGGTTGGCGACGAGAGGAACAATTTCACACTGGAAATCAATGCCCTCCAAGCCAAGGTCGATGCACTCAAGACCAAACAGAAGTTGAAAGGAAACAACGGCAATGGTGACCACTGGTGTTTCATCTGTCGCCAACGAGGTGACCACGTGGCACAAGACCACGCTGACTATGACCCAAACTTTGCAAGTAAGAGAGGAAGACAAAGTGCTCGCACCATCCCAACAAAGCGCAAGGCACACTCAAGCGGCTCCGAAACGGAAGAGATTCAATCATTCTCGGTCAACTCGACGTACACGATGGAAAACGACGACCCGTTGTGTGGAACAGTCTCACAATCGCACCCAAGCGAAAGACATTGGACACTTGACAACTGTGCCACAGGTCATGTCACGGGGACAAAGGACTTCATTGACTCTTGGCATGGCTCGGCCAACCTCATTCTACCAAACAAGACTCAAATTAGAGGCAACGTGGGAGTGACGAACATTGCCATGTCCACGAACGGCAAGCTGTCGATTCTCCAGCTACGCAATGTCACGTATGCACCGTCCCTGTACAAGAACCTCATCTCGCACATCAAGTTGCTCGAGAGTGGGTACAGAATCACACGCCAAGACATGCAACGGACGATCTAC